AACTTGAGGTGATCCTCCTGCCTCAGCCTCCTGAGTGCTGGGAGTATAGGCATGCAGGACCATGCCTGGCCATGTGGCTTTGTTTTTTATGAGCTCAGTGGAATCTGGGTAACATTTAAGCACATTATATAAGTTAAAATGCTATCATGTATAAGATGAGAGAAAAAAGTTATTTCATATTTAGTATAATTTTAGAGGTAAAGGATTACCTCTCTTTCTCTATGATTCTTTAGTAATAGGATTTTTTTTCTCTAAAAAGAGACAATCTGAGGGTAAAATATACATGGGGATGATGAGTAACATAATATGAGTCTGAGGGATAAAAATCAGTGGCTGCCATGTACTAAGCCACATAGTTGATGCATCTGTTTATTTTTGTGCTAGGAAACAAACTCAGGACCTCACGCTTGCTGGGCAGACACTGTGCCACTGAGCTATATCCCCAGATGGTACATTTATTTTTAATCCTCATAATAGCATTGTAAGGTAGACTTGACTTCATTTTATAGGGAATGAAATGAAAATGTAAGAAGGTAAAAGAACATGCTCCAGTTCATACCACTGATACATTGCAGAGATAAAAAAAGAGTCTTTTTATTTGACACGGACTTTCCTTGTAACATGTTTGAGAAATCTGTAGTAGGCAAAAATTGACTCTTAGGATATGTGTATATAAACTTTACTGGATAATGTACACTTTAGCTGTTTCTTAAAGAATTTGGGAAAATTTTTATTTCTACCTGCATGTGTAAGAATTTTGAGACAAGATCTCACTAAACTGCCCAGGAAGGCCTCGGATTTGTAATCCTCCTGACTCAGTCTCTCTGGTAGCTGTGAATGTGCACACTGAGCCCAAAAGAGCCTGTTGCATGTTTTGCTTGTCTGCTTTTTTTGACTTTTGAGATGAGGTCTTTCTATGTAGCTCTAGCTGGCCTTGAACTCTGTAGCCTAGGCTATAACTGAACTCATGGCAGCCTTCCTGCCTGAGCCTTCCATGTGCTGGGATTACAGGTGTGTACCACCACACCCAGCCCTTGTGCAGTTTTTCACAGCAGGAGGCAGCAGAGGTTTGGCTCAGATGGCAGAGAGCAAAGGGATCTTGAGAAATGATAAGATAGACTACTACAATCTTAGGCAAATGCTCTACTGCTGAGCTACATCCCCATCCCTTACAATACTAGAATATCATGTCGATTACTGCCATTACTATTAATAGTTAAATAGCATGCTCTTCTTGTAAGGATACCCTTAAGGTTTGGAAGGGATCTTATGTAATGAGTTGCCAAATAATTGTGGCTTGTTGATGAACATATTGCTAATTAGACCTGAAAAATGTGGATTTGGAAGGCCACAAATTAAATCGCCTAGTCATTAAGCTATTTTTGTGTCATGCTACATGCTTTTATTTCTATGAGGAGGATATAATCCAGCAAAACTCTTCCTCACGCTTGCATTTCTGAGGCAAAAGCCCAGTTCTTCCCACTATTGGGCTTTGGCCTTGGCCTTCTCCCTACACTGCACCTGACACCTCCCTGCCCTCTGAGGCTCACACGTTCTCAAAGGCCAAAAGATGCCTTGTGTCTTACTTGTGTGTGTATTGGGGGCGGGGGTGCTGGGGATGAACCTAGAGCCTTCATACTGATCTACATCCTCAGTCCTGTTTTGGGTTTGTTCTTAGACAGGATCTTGCTAAGTTGCCCGGGCTAAAACATGTAACCCTCTTGTCTCAGCCTACCATGCCTGCCTATGACTTGTGCCTTTTACATAAATCTTATTTAGGAAATCATTTTTTACCTTGAAGTAATAAAAGCGTAACTCTTCTTTAAATGTTTTAGTTTTCCTTCTATGTTTATGTCTTTAAACCATTTGAAGTTGATGTTTGTGTGTGGGTGAAGGTAGGAATCCCTCTTCATAGTTTTTGTTCTCTCTCTCTCTCTCTCTCTCTCTCTCTCTCTCTCTCTCTCTCTCTCTCTCTCTCTCTCTCTCTCTCTCTCTCCCCCCCTCTCCCCGGAACTGGAGATTGAACTCAGGCCCTTGCGCTTGCCAGGGAAGCACTTATTCCAATGAGCCATCTTCCTGGCCTTCCACTGAGCCATCTCCCTAGCCCTTTCTAGTTTTCTAAAATGGTGACAGTTACAGACTGTTACTTCAGTGCTGCTACTCAAAACTTTGGTTGAGTTTCTCACTGATCAACTCACTGCCCATTGCTTTGTTCCAATCCTGTTACAACCTCATTTCCTCATTTCTCCCAGGATGAAAGCTGTATGTACAACCCAACAGGTAAGGCAGCTAAGTGCCGGGGATACAGAGAGATCCCTGTGGGCAACGAGAAGGCGCTCAAGAGAGCTGTGGCCCGTGTGGGACCCATCTCCGTGGCCATTGATGCAAGCCTGACCTCCTTCCAGTTCTACAGCAAGGGTAAGGAGCCCTTGAAGAGTGCACTCTGGATGTGCAGGCGCAGCGTTCTGCAGGCCCAACTGTTCTCAGTGCAATACCTAGCTTTCATATTTGAACTCAGTTTGCCAGAGAGAAGTTGATGGCAGCCACAGTGCAAACCATCGCTGTGCTCAGCCTGCCAGGAAGGGACAACATTCTAGTGTCTCTTAGACTGGGAGGCCCACAGGGCAGCTCTGGGGTGACAAAGAGCCTCAGCATGGTTGTTTTCCAGGTGTGTATTATGATGAAAGCTGCAATGGTGAAGATCTGAATCATGCAGTGCTGGCAGTGGGGTATGGGATCCAGAGGGGCAACAAGCACTGGATACTTAAAAACAGGTAATGAGGGAATACTGCTTATGTCAGGTAATGACCGTGTGACACTCAACAGTACTTCAGTTTCCCAGAATTTTTTCCTTTCTCCTAAATGAAGAGAAATTGCCTCAGGCTCTTCAGTTGTACCTTCCACTCAGAGTCTTACTTCTGAAGCTGGCATTGGGTGGTCAGACAGTAGTACTCAAGAGTGTTCCGCACTGATCCGTGTGCAAGGTACACAGTACAAACACACGAGCAAATATCTGCATCTCGCCATCACAGCCCGATTAGAAGGACGGCCGACTCCCCAGGACATGAGTAGCACAGAGAAGCAGCTCATTTCCTTCAGACTCTCCTAGTTTTGTCTACCACAGCCTTAGCCTCTCTTGCCACAATGAAGTTCAAACTCTTCAGACTTGCAGTGCAGATAATTCAACCTTGGGTCGCTCTTCCTTACCAGACCTAGCTCCCATTCCACTCTGCCACGCACTGCTTTCAGCCACATGATCCTGACGTGGCCTGCTGTCTTGCCTCTGCTGTCAGCCTCGTACCTGTACACGGCCCCCCATTCCCACGGGCCCAAATTCTGCCGTCTTTGGGCCTCAGCCCTTTGTCTTCCTCTTGATCAGTAGCACTCTTTTCTACCTTTGAGATGGTAGCATCATACATACTTTTATTTCCCCATGACCTTGAACACTTTAAAGTAAAATCATTTTGCTCAATTTTGTATGTCATTAGTACCTAGCACAGTATATAGTAAGAGCTCTAAAGAATAAACTGAAGTACTAAGTATTCTTTTTGATTGGTCCTACAGCTGGGGAGAAAACTGGGGAAACAAAGGCTACGTTCTCTTGGCTCGAAATAAGAACAATGCATGTGGCATTGCCAACCTGGCCAGCTTCCCCAAGATGTGACCGCAGCCAGCCAGCCTCATTCTGCTCTTGTATTCCCACTTGATGGTGCCGTATCATGATGTGTCTTGGAGGGAGCTGTGTGCCATTCTTGAAACAGACAAGGCAACACCGAGACTGTTTCGTTCTTCATTCACCGGTGCTTCAAGCAATGCCCACTACTTTTCTTCTCTCACCTGAGGCCCTTTTCTTTAGGCCCTTTTCTCTGGGTTTTTCTGAGGGGTGTGGGTGCCTGGGTAAGAGAAGTGACCGTAGCCTTCCCTGACCATATTGTCCTGGGTCTGATGCCATGGAGGCCTTCTGGTGGGCTGGATTCTCGCGCACTAGGACTGCCTAGCCTTAAGTGCCCTGGAAGACTGGGGCAACCTGACGTCACAGCTTCTGAGTTCCCTTTCATATACTCAAGGTAGAGATTTCTGTTTTCCACTGCAGTTCACAAATATATTTGTAAGTCTTTCGTGAAAGTTCACATGACAGAAGAAATGTCTTCTTTTTCCTTTGCATTTTTGAAATAAAGTATTTATCTGTTGTCTACAGTGTAATAAACAGCATTTAGTACATATTGGTTTTGTGTTGCTAGTGTGCAAGCTGTTGGGATACAAGAAGATGACTAACAGTATTCCCTGTCCTTGATATACTCACGGCCTGACTGGAAAGACTGCCACATAGTCATTCCAGTTCCTTTCTGTGTTGTTCCTTCAGCTGGCAGCAGGCAGGTGCTCGCTCTGCACTGAGACTTGTTCTGAGTCTGCGGGACTAAGGAGGCCTCAGTATTAATACTGTCTGCATGTGTGCCTGACCCAGGGACCAGCAGACCCAAGTCTTGAAAATACCTTAGATCTGTTTCTCGAGTTCAACTTCTGAACGTCTAAACTTTCGCACTCACCAAAAGAGGAAATTTGAATTCTTTACTAGTATTTTCCAGCAAGCATTAATTCTAAAAGATTAAATCTGCATAATTTGCTTGACCTTTTTTCACAAAATATTTTATCAGAAACCTTTTTGTTGATTTTTTGGGGTGTGAGTGTGTGTGCGCGTGCGTGCACATGTGTGTGTTTAATGAGTCAGGATCTTACTGTGTAGTTCAAGCTGGCCTTGAACTCACAGTGATCCTCCTGCCTCAGCCTTCCCAGTGCTGGGATTACAGTCGTGAGCCACCACATCTGGCAAAAGTCATATTTATTTACTATTTACCCCATGTCAAGAATTCTTATTTCTTTGTGTGTAAAAAAAATGTTTCAGTAAATATTTGCTAACATGTGTTAAGGAATATTAAGTCTATTAAGGCGGTGATCCTAAGAATTAACATCATGTTTTTGAAAATACCATTTAATGGGTAGAATTCTCAACCTGACTAACTCTATTCTGATATCTTTGAACTCAGCAACTACATTGAGGACAGCAGTATGTAATACTAAAACCATGCTTGAAGAACCTGTCATTTTGGTCTGCTAAATGCTAACTGCTTCTAATCTCATATCAATTAGTGCTAGTCTCTCTTTAAAGTAAATCTTTGTTTAAAAAAAGTAATAAAATTAGAAACAAGAAAAAAAAAGGAATATTAAGTCTAGGAGTCTTAATCATAGTAATAGTGATTTAGTGGGACATACTTGTAATCCCAGCTACTTGAGAGACTGAAGCAGGAAGATTTTTTTTGAGCCCAGGATTCTCAGTTCAGTCTGGGCAACACAATAAGCTCCTTTGCCAAAAACCAAAAAGTTTTAGAGAATAAATAATCATTATTTAAAAGATAACTGTCTTTTGAAAACTAAGCATTTTAAAATGAGTTCTATAGATGTTTTTGAAGATTAAAAAGGTTTAAAAACTTTTAAAAAGAACATGGTAATTTATGATAGAGACAGATACAAACAATACTACCCATAGTGAAAATAAATGGTCAAGAGTGGGTCATTACATACTAGGATTTTAGGTGAGGCTCTATTAAAGCCCTTAAAATCTCTTCTCTCTCTCTCTCCCTCTCCCTCTCTCTCTCCCTCTCCTTCTCCCTCCCTCCTTCGCTCCCTCTCCCTCAGTTGAAGAACAAGTTGGAGATGTAGTCTATAATCCTAGCACTCAAGAGGCTGAGCAGAAGAATCACTGCAAGTCTGAGGCCAGGCAGGACTAGCTACAGTGACCTTGTCTCAGAAGAACAAAACAAGCAGGTGTGGTAGCGCACAACTGTAATCCCAGCACTTTGTTAGCCAGAGACAGGAGGATTGCTGTGAGTTTCAGCCCAGTCTGAGCTACACAGTAAGTTCAAAGCCAGGCTAAACTATACAGGGAGATGCTGGAGAGACAGAGACAGAGAGACACAGACAGACAAACAGAAATGCAAGAGAATGGAAGAAAATCAACCACTGACAGATGTGTAGGCACGAGTGCATGCATGCTCAGCAGTTCACAGGTATTTTTATAGAATGTTGAAAGGACTGAAAGCAAGCTGGAGGAGTGTCTGACTCTGCTGGCAAATTCTACATAGACTGTACTTTCATCTGGGTGGTGGGTGGCTTGAGGCAGGAGGGTAGCAAGTTTGGCCCAGCATGTCCTGTCTGAAAATAAAGAAGACTGAGATGGTGTGGTGTAAAGGCCCTGTGTTCAATTCCCAGAACTGAAAATAAAATCCTTTGATATTTCCTTTTGTGTGTATATATGGACAACACATTTGTTCCATTTATTTCTAAACATATTTGGGGTTTATTTCTAGTGTTTTTCCCTCGTTCATTATGATGTATATCTCTGTATACTTTAGCGTATCACATTTAATTACTGGAGCTTTATAATTGGTTTTTTTAATCTGGTAGGATTTATCTTTTCTGTTCTAGAAAATTTCCTAAATGTTTCTGCTTTTTAATTTTTTCTATATGATCTTTAGAATTAGCTTCTCAAATTATCAAGAATCCTAGTGTTTTTATTTTAATTATACTAAATTTACATCTTAACTGAGGAAAATTTACTTCTGTCTTTTCTGGAATGACCCGGTCCCCGTGAAGGAACACTGGGCCCAAGATGCTCTGACACTAGATCGAGGCACACTGTCCCGGGTAACGCCCAGCGCACGTTAATTAGGGACTGAGTGACAGAAGTGTGGTCCCAGGAAGCAGCAAGACCAGTGGACAGGGCCGGAGAGATGGCTCAGTAGAATAAGTGCTTCTTCTGTGTGGTAAGCACAAGGGCCTGAGTTCAATCCCTGGTTCCACAAATAAATACCGCTGGACCCCTGTGATCCTGGTCAGAAGTAGGGGCATTTGTAATGGGCAGAACAAAATTGATCTCATCCACACTGGGCTGTACTAGTAAGGTTGGCAGAGCACCCTGGCGGTTTTATTTATAGTATGCTGGAAAATAGAACGGGGCTACTCAGGAATAGCCATGCAGCCAGGCCAACTTCAATCCATAAACGAAGACTAAGATGCTTTAAATATTTTTTAAGGTATTCTTTATGATTTTTTGCAGATCATGCTACTATATTAAATTTTTTTCTAGAAAGTTTGCCTCTTAATACATTTTTTTTTTTTTGGCAGATGAAAATGGAATTATTTCTAATTTATCTTGTAGTTGGATGTATTTGTATACTTGGAAGATACTGGTTTATTATGCTGGTTTTATACTAAGCTACCTTATCCTGAATTCTATCTTTTTAACTTTTCAACTGATTCTCTTTGATGGGGAACAGGTATATAAGTACATGAAGTGCAAATTTTACTCCTACTTTTTACCCTAATTTCTCATTTGTCTATTTATATCAGGTAATTCCTCCAAAATGATACTAAGGAATACAGAAAGGTCCTGACCTAGAGACATGATTATTTTGTAGATGCTGAAATTCTACTGTAAACATGTGCATAATTTAACTAGTCTCCATTCAGTAGGCGTACAGTTTTCAGTATTCTCAGCTATAAATAGTTTTGCAATTAGTGATTAATTTTGCCACAAAGACATTTTAACATGATTATACAATCTAATCTGCCATTTTTTATTTCAAATTTCTTTCATAATCCTGATATTAGGTACCATTTTTTGAGCTTTACAGTACATCTCACACAATGGGGGATAATTTATATCCTGGGGTACTTTATACTCTGTTCCCTTACCTCCTCCATTCTATTTATATTAAACAGTCTACCCCACCTAACCTAGCTGGTGACTGAGCCAAGACTCAGACTCAGGTGCTTTCTGTTTTTCTAAATTTTATTATCTACTTTGTTTTATGTATTTTATTTTTTATAGATTTGATAGGATAAAGGTGCTGTGCTTTTGCACATGATAAGATCATGTGTAGAAAATTCTAAGGAATTAACTGAAAAGCAATTACAACTAATCAAATGAGTTCTACATAGTTGCAGGATATGAGATTAACATGCAAATTAATTTTTTTCTGGCAGTAACATTGAATAAACTGAAAAACTAAGAAAACAAGTCGATTTTACAATAGCATCAAAAAGAATAACATACTTAGGAATGAATTTAATAAGAAGAGCAAAATTTATACTCTGAAGCTACAAAAAGAAATTAAGAAAACTAAACAAATGGAAAACATCTCACATTCATGTACTGGAAGACACTATTGTTAAAGTGGCAGTACTTCTAAATTTGATTGACAGATTTAAAATGATTGCTATCAAATTCCCAACTGGATTTTTGCAGAAATTTTATAATCTGGCCCTAAAATTAATATGGACCTTCAAGGGATCCAAAATAACCAAAACAATAGTGATGAAGCACAAAGTTGGGAGACTCACACCCCAACTTTAAAGTCTACTATAGACCTTAGTAAATAAAACTGTGGCCTAGGCCTATGCAAGTAGGCACCATGTACACATCTCAGGCAGAAGGTAGTGTGCAGGACACCCTAGCCGTTGGCTGCTCACAGTAGACAGGATGCCTTCTGGCTCTCAGAGACCAGCAGAGCCCCCTGTTCTCCCCATATTTCTGAACATCCTGACATGGGCCTAGCAAATAGGCTCATGACTTCGTTACATTCCTTGACCTCTAGCATGAGCCCAAGGAGCATGGGCTCTGACTGCTTTAAGGTGACCATTGAAGATGATGCCATAGCCGTTACAAATCGTTAGCATCGTGCCTCTCCTCCCATGGGCTGTGGCAGCCCCGCTGGTTCCATCAAGGCCTGTACGTGTTCACAAACTCTCCCTCCCACAACTGATTGGGGAAAAGTTCAGTTATAACC